TATGTATTGCTTGAAAAAGAGTACATATTTAGGTGGTTGTTAAACAACGTCACTCCTAACGTATATGAGAGATCAATACGACGGGTTTAAAAGTGAGATTAGAGATAACAAAGCTTTGATGTGATCATAATGAGCGGTGAAAAAGTGTGAGCTAGCGTAATTCGAGAGAATATGACTAGTACATTATTGTAGTTGCTCTAGTGAGAAATACGATAAGTCGAGTGCTCATGATTAGTAGAGAATAATTAGGCAAAATTATAGAAGACTTAGCGGGAAGGATTCCGACAATTGGCAAAACCATAACTCTAGACCTCCTTAATCTTATCTCCAACCCTTAGTATCTTTAGTTGCTCCTTTAATTTGTTAGTTAATTAGTTAGACATAAGAATCTTGATATTTATAACTTAGAAATTATTTGAGCTTGTCTTCTTAGTGGTACTTAACAGTTACAGCAAAACCTTAGTTCTTTGTGGGATTTGACTCCGGATTTTTAGACCGGATTATATTTGCAACAACCGCTTATTCTTTTTAGGACTAGAGTTGGGCATGATCAAATTTTGGTGCCATTGCCGGGGAACTAACGGTGTAGTTGTAATTGTATATATTTCTAGGTTTCAAGTTTGAACTTTTTTTTGTTTTATTGTTTTTTTAATTTTATTTTATTTTACTTGTTGATTTGAGAAACATGACATCTTGAAATTGTGGGAGTTTAGGTGTTGGTAATTTTACTTTTGATCCTTATACATATTGTGAAGGAAACCACCCGTAGCAAAATTTTTAAAATGTTCCTAAGAACGAGTTATATGCACCAACTCAATCTTATTTGTGGAGTATGTGTGATGTGTGTGGTGGTCAAGATGGTCACTTTTATGGTTGTGTTTATATTTCTTATCCTCCCCCAATCCCTTGCTATGATAGTTCTGTTTTTCTTGTGAAGTTAATAGGAACAAAGGATCCGGGGATGTTAACTTTAAAGAGATCAAAGATATATTAAAGTGCCTTATGGAACAAAATGATAAAAGACAAATGCAGATAGAACGACAAGAGGCAACTATTCACAACTTGGAGGCTCAAGTGTGTCAACTAGTTGAAGCTTTTAATGCAAAATAGACCAATATTATGGATAGTAGCCAAGAAGAGTGTGAATTAGATGCAGAAAGTGAGGTGCTAATGAAAGAGGTCAGAGTAGAACATCAACAATCTATCCAAATAGAATTTGAGGATGCCGATGTTAAAGAAGTGGCATTTGAGTCAACCAAGGACCTTAAAGATGCAACTTTGGTTGACTCTATTTTATGTCATGAAGTAAATGTGAATAAGCATGTAAATATTTATTTTGAGCGCATTGGCCCTCACTCCAAATATTTTTCCACATTGTGTTTGGATGATGATATGAAAATAGAGTCATCCGAGTCAACTAAGGAGTCAAGGGATGAGGAACAAAGTGCCTACATTCTAATATTTTTCGTGCCAGAAAGACATGATTACACATCACATCTAAATGCCAAGAAACATAGAATATTATATTTTTTACTTGGGCCAGATAGATTTGTTCCACCACCCAAGATCATAGTCATAAGCTTGAATCAAAACTTGGGGTCCAATTCATAAGCTCGAGGTGGATGCAAAAATTGATTCACGCCGTGTCGTGACGTTAAATCAGGCGCTTGTTGGGAGGCAACCCAACTTTACTGCTTTCATTGATTTTTTTTTTTTTTTTTTGTTGTTTTATTAAAATTAATTTTATTGTGTTATTTTTAGTATAGCTTTTGATTTTCTCTGAGCATGAGAAGCAAAGCCATTGGAAGGAAGGAAAAGAAAGCAAGATGATTGGAACTAAGTATGGGGTGCCCGCATAAACGACCAATGCCCGGGAGAAGTCTGAGTACCCTATGAGCTGCTAATGCTTCGAACATTGGCCTACCATGGAGTTTCTTTTAAACTCTTATTATTTATGGTGTGCATTAGGGACAATGCACAATTTTAAGTGTGGGGTGGAGAAGACTGTCTGGGTGATTTCTTGTGCTATGTTATGTATGTTAAAAAAAATATAAAAATAATAATTAGGTAGAAATAATTCCTCTTGGTTTTTCTTATGGCCATGGTTCTTTTTCAAGGGATGACTCTTTGAACCAGGCATCATTTTTTTAGGTAGAATTTTTAAAAAATTTGGACTTTCCCCGACGATGGATTTGTTAGACAGTTTTTTTGAGGGAGTAAAGTCCAAAGAAAAAAATACAAAAATATTTTCCTTTTCTTTTTAGAAATGATAATGGAATGAGAAAAACTTGAGTATCTGTGCTTTTTGACATGTTTTATGCCGGGGCTTAGAGCTGTGACATTTGAATTAATTATTTTCTTCGTGTTCTATGTGCCCACATGGCTTGAGAATATATATGACTTTCCTTTGACGCTTAAGTTCATTTGTTGACTCATGTAATTACTTTCCATGTATTGAGTTAATATCATGACTATTCTTAGTTGTTTAACTTGAGTGTCTGGTCTGAATCATCAGGAGTGAATCATGTGCATTGTGTGATGTGAGGCTTGATTACATTCTGTGCTATCTTGTGTTAGTCTAGAACTTTTCCGTGTATTAGTCGAAGCAAAATAAGTAAGCTTTGTGAGTCTAGGAGATGAGGTAGGTGTTTCTTTGATTGTCCATTGAGCTAGTATGCCACGATAAATAAAATTATCCTTAGATAGCCCATTTGAGCCTATAAACCTTTTCTTTGACACCCACTTTATAGCCGATTCCCTTTTTGTTCTTAATTAGATATGTTTGAACCTTTACTTCCAAAAGCACTTAAGTCGCTAGAAGAGTAAGGTGAGAGATGGGGTAGCTTTTGAGTGGAACCACAGAAAGGCCAAAAGGTGCACGTATATTTTGAAAGATCATTGGCCGAGCAACCCAAGTTTGGAGAGTGTTAAAAATAAAAGAAAATAAAAATCAAAGAACATAAAAAAAAGAAAAGAAAAAAGAAGAAAATACACTTCATATTCCTCTTATCCGAGCTAGTGAATGCATAGTTGTGATTAAAGAAGAAGGGTCAATTGTATATGGTTTCGTGGCATTGCTTGAATTGGTCATGAAAAGTATGTTTCTGAAAGCTAAAGAGTAGTGTATTAAAGTACTTAGGATGGTGAGCCACTATTTTTCCAAATATAATCTACCCATCCCTTAGCCTACATTATAACCCGTAAAGACCTAATTGATCTAAGACTTCACAAGCTTATATTAGTAGAAACATACATTACGGGCAAACATATGGTACGATCTCGGGGTGCACATGAATTTCTTTGTGAGAGTGAGCGAATTCTTTTAATTTGTAAGTCCTTAAATTATACTTTAATGCATATTTGAGTGTGTGAACTAATTTCTCTCTTTGATTTGTGTTGAGGGTACATGATTTGTACAAGACTGGTAAAGTTCAGGCATTTTGAGTTAACACAAGAAGTGAGTCATAGTAGGAAATGTATTGGAGTCATCTTTTGAGGTTAGAATGTTAGAAGAAGTCTCACAAATATTTTAAATAGTCTTGGCATAGGTCAAATTTTGAAGAAAGATGTCAATAGTTCTTACGTTGAGTTCTAAGTGTTGGTATAAACCATTGTTATTGATGTGATGCTTAAATAATTTTTGTTGAAATGTGTTTCTTGCCATTGTGCTTAATGTTGAAAGTTGCTCGAGGACGAGCAAGTGTTTAAGTGTGGGGTGTTGATAAACACCTAAAAATGCATTTTCGGTGTACTTTAATCTCATAACGTGTGTGGTTACGGGAGGATACATAAGTTTTTATATTGAATTATGCTCATTACGTGCATTCTTGTGTGTAGGAGCAAGTTGGACGAAAAAGGAACTTAAATAGTTAATTTGGGACCAAAAGACAAAAGAACTTTACTCGTTCACTCTCGCGTGCACACGAGAGAGTGAACGAGCTAGCTGAGGAAAGTTTAAAATAACAGTGAACTAAGCTAAAAAGGCATGGAAGTGCACACGAGAATGGGGAAGAAAATAAAAAAAGAGAAGTACTTCGCTCGTTCACTCTCGCGTGCGCACGAGAGAGTGAACGAGCTAACCTGAAAAGTCTGTTCCAAAGTTGGCTTGTATTATTTCGCCCCATGCTAACCTATCCCATATAAATAGTCTTTAAACTCACTTTTATAAAGGAGATTCAACCTAAGGAGGGGGAATTCGACCTAAGGGAGATTTGACCTAAGGAGGCTAGAACCCACAAGAAGCAAGGCAGAGAATTTTTCTACGAGTTTTTCACTTTCTACTTCCTATTTCCATTATTGGTTATGAATTTTAGTATTGTAGTTTTACATACTTTTATGAGTAGCTAATTCTGCTATCTAGGGTTTTGATGAAACCTTTTGTAGGATAAATTCTTGATACGTTTTGACATAACTGAGTCGTCGAATTTTTTTATTTGTTCAACTACGCGCTTATTTTAGTTAATTGAAGAGCTCTCAATTAACGGTGCATGTTTATTATATATTGCTTGAAAAAGAGTACATATTTAGGTGGTTGTTAAACAACGCCACTCCTAACGTGTATGAGAGATCCATACAGCGGTTTAAAAGCGGAATTAGAGATAACGAAACTTTGACGTGATCATAATAAGCGGTGAAAAAGTGTGAGCTAGCATAATTTGAGAGAATATGACTAGTACAATATTGTAGTTGATCTAGAGAGAATTACGATAAGTCGAGTGCTCATGGTCCGTAGAGAATAATTAGGCAAAATTATAGAAGACGTAGCGGAAAGGATTCCCACAATTGAAAAAATCATAACTCTAGACCTCCTTAATCTTGTCTCCAACCCTTAGTATCTTTAACTGATCCTTTAATTTGTTAGTTAATTTGTTAGGCATAAGAATCTTGATATTCATAACTTAGAAATTGTTCGAGCTTGTCTTCTTAGTGATACTTAATAGTTACAGCAAAACCTTAGTTCTCTGTGGGATTGGACTCCAAACTTTTAGGCCGGATTATATTTACAGCAACCAGTATCTTTGGCCGTTTTCTTTCATGTTGTCAAGTAGAAGAGACTGAGCACTTGCAACTTCTTTTATGTTGTCAAACACTTCCTTCCTATTGTTGAGTTGATTCACTTTGTTTCGTGCATGAGCCGCAACTAGGCTACTGGTTTCACTTAATTGCATATTAGGATTTAAAAAACGATCAATAATTGCTTGAGATGTAGGATGAAAAATTGAGAAAGGCTTACCGGTAGGGGAAAAGAGTACAATTCCAACGTCAATATTACATAGCTTAACAAGTTCGCTAGCCTTTTTATATAGACCCGAACGACGCTTTGAAAATGTCGCATAGCGGTCATCTTCACTTTCTATCTTTTTCATTGGAATCTTTTGTCGTTCTCTAGTTTTCTTACCCTCCATCGCTAATAAAATTATAAGAAAGGAGTCTAATATAAAGCTTATTGATGAATAGTTTTCTTTAAGAAATGATCGACACTTATGAGAAATAGAATATCATGGCTATTTATATACATGAAGGCTTCATCATAATAAATTTCCAGCCAAATATTATAAATGAAAGTAATCAAAGAAATCTAAACTTTTAAGTTAAAAAAGTAAATATTTTATCATACTTACTAAAATTTACCAAGTTCTGATTGGAAACTAAGTACCGGAATCTTTGAAATTTAACTCAAATAGGAAAATAATTTAATGTGTTTGGAAATTCATCAAGTTCTAGGAGTTCGAATTAACTCGGGTCAGATTTAAAATTTAACTTGAATAGGAATGTTTTAATAAATTAAAATAACGAAAATTAAACTTTCCAAAGGCATTAACATCAACCAAATCTGAAATTTTAAGTATAATTGGAAAAGTTTTAATGTTTTACCTGAAATAAGTGCAAATGTAATTAGAAGATAACCAAATTGAGAAAAAACATTAGAACTGCATTACTACAATAAAAATCAGAAATTACTAATTAATTACTCACTAATTTTATCAACTACTATTTTTGAAATGCAATATAACTAAGAGGGACACAAGTGCATACCAAATATTTCTCAAATATACGAAGAACACTACGAATAGAATTATACGATAAATTGTACACATGACACTTTAGAATGTACAATTGGAAGCAACTCGAGATACCAAAATACCCTTGGTCGTCTAAAGAACCTTGCAGTAGCTGGGCAAGCCTTCGCGAACGCGGATAAGACGACGCGAACGCGAAGAAGAAAGGGGGTGATGGGCCTAAGGCCATTTGGCCTACGCGAACGCGTAGAAGGGAACGCGAACGTGAACGCGAGGGGTCTGGGCAGCTGGCCTTCGCGAACACGACCAGGATGACGCGAACGCGAAGAGAAAATTTGGAGGCAGTGTTTCTCTGGCCTTCACGATCGCGATGATCTTTCCGCGATCGCGAAGAAGGGCGGTCCTGGGCAGTGAAGTTTTAAAGATGGGATTTGGCCATTTTTCTCCATATTTCATTTTGGTTGGGCAATATTTGGAGCTTTTGAAGAGGAGATTTCATCATCTATTATGAGGTAAGTAATTCCCGCATATTGTGAGTTAAATACATGGGTTGTATATAATTTATACATGAAAATTTGTAAAAATTTGGGATGTTAAAGGAAAACCTAGAAATTTATACTTTTGGATTTTGACCATGCAATTGGACATGGAATTTGAAATAAATTATATATTTGGGTTCGTAATGCTATGGGTAATGTTTATCTTCGGAAGTTTTTGGAATCCGGACTCGTGGGCCCGAGGGTAATTTTATCGACTTTTCGAACGGAGTTGGAAATTTGTTGTAAATTGAATTACAATGAGTATATGTTTATGGGTTTGCACATTTATTGACTAGTGTTGGAGCGATTGGGCATCGGTTTGAGATGTTGGAAGGGCTTGGGATCAGTGTTGTGGAATTTTGGAGCGAGGTAAGTCTCCTTTCTAACCTTGTAAGAGGGAATTAACCCTATAGGTGAATCAAATCATTATGTGTTTCTACTTGTGGGGGCTGCGTACGCACGGGGGGACGAGAGTCCATGCGTAGCTATTATTATGCTTATGTCTGGGTAGTCTAGGACCCATATCATGTTGTACTTGCGATGTCTGCGCCCTACTTATTAATTTAATCGTTTAAAACATTTAGAATCTCGATAGAGGAATCATAAAAAGGTTAAATTTCATTTACTTGACCGTTAAATGGAAATTTGTAATTCTTGGAAAATTTGCCCCTTAATAAATCTTGAATTGGTTGTTTAATATATTTTTTTCTTTTGTGGAGCGGGCCGAATGCCTCGGTAGGTTGATAGATGCATCTATGGTTCGTGCCGTTCAACCCTCGGCAGTGTACAGTTTAAATATTATGTTGGATCGGGCCGTACGACCTCGGCATAATTTGCGCATGATATATATTTTTTGAAATTATGCTAATTGAAATTGCTTTCATTGGCCTGAGATACAAAAAAATATTAAATGACGAAAATAAATTTGAAAATTTCTTATGAACAAAAGAATTGCTTACTTATTTCATGATATTGAGCTTACAGCCGTTCTACGTAATTCATGCTTAATTATATCATTGATATTTTATTTATAGCCCATAGTAAGTGTCGAAGTCGACCCCCTCGTCACTACTTCTTCGAGGTTAGGCGGGATACTTACTGGGTACGCGTTGATTTACGTACTCATACTATACTTGTTGCACATTTTTGTGCAGGTGCATATATGTCTAGTGGCCTTGTGGGCGCAGATGCGCGGTTATTGCGGGGACTTAGGTGAGTTGCATTCCACGTTACGAGTCCGCAACCAGCATAGTCTCCTGCAGAGTATTTATATTTCCCCTGTCCGAATTTGTATTCCGGATAAATATTGTATTTTATTTTACATTCCTAGTTGAGGCTCATGTAATTGTGACACCAGATTTTGGGGTGATTTGGGTTGTCCTGTATTGAAATTGTTAAAAATATCATTATTTACTTCGTAAATTCCATCTTTTACTATTTAATTGAAGGAAATATGATTTCAAAAATATTAAAAATGAGAATTAAATTAAGTATTTTTTTTTGGCTTGCCTGATAGCGGTGTCCGGCGCCATCACGACCTTTAATAAATTTTGGGTCGTGACAACATGGAGGAGTATAATATAAAGCTTATTGATGAATAGTTTTCTTTAAGAAATGACACTTATGCGAAATAGAATATCGTGGCTATTTATATACATCAAGGCTTCATCATAATAAATTTATAGCCAAATATTATAAATGAAAGTAATCAAAGAAATCTGAAATTCTAAGTTAAAGAAGTAAATAGTTTATCATACTTCATAAAATTTACCAAGTTGTGATTAGAAACTAGGTACCAGAATCTTTGAAATTTAACTCAAATAGGAAAATAATTTAATGTGTTTAATAATTCATCAAGTTCTAGTTCAAATTAACTCGGGTCAGATTAAAATTTAACTTGAATAGGAATTTTTTAATAAATTAGGATAATGAAAATTAAACTTTCCAAAGGCATTAACATCAACCAAATCTGAAATTTTAAGTATAATTGGAAAAGTTTTAATGTTTTAACTGAAATAAGTGCAAATGTAATTAGAAGATAACCAAATTGAGAAAAAACATTAGAACTGCATTACTACAATAAAAATCAGAAATTCCTAATTAATTACTCACTAATTTTATCAAGTGCTATTTTTGAAATGCAATATAACTAACAGGGACACAGGTGCATACCAAATATGTTCTCAAATTATCACGACCTAAAATCCCACCACGGACGTCATGATGGCACCTAATCTTAGAGACTAGGTAAGCCGATTTCTATTACATTTTGAAGCCATTTATTTTTGAATTAAATAAGTACCCAAAACTGACAGCGGAATAAATATGAATATACAACCTCCCAAGACTGGTAGTACTGAGTCACGAACTCTAACTGAATACATGGATTGATCACGAGAACCGAATATACAATAATGTTTGATTACAAATTAACACTACAATGAAATGAAAAGACTTCAAGGGACTGCAATGGCCAAGCAGCTCAACCTTGAATCCTTATAATCGCGCTTTAACTCTGCTCAAGTCCGATATCTCCAGTACCTGACTCTGCACAAAAATGTGCAGAAGTATAGTATGAGTATGCCACGGTCGGTACCCAGTAAGTATCAAGACTAACCTCAATGGAGTAGAGACGAGGTACAGTCAAGACACTCACTAGTCTAATAACCTGTACAATATAATACACAAAATAATAGGAAAAAAATAACAATAGTGCAACATGAAACAACCAGTGATATGCACAACAGACAACAAGAATACCATTAATATCGCTCAACAATTAATAAGTACAATTACACCCAATTAAATCAAGTCCTTCAAATAAATGTCTTTCACATATAATTCTTCCAAATAGTTCTCTTTCAAATATAATTTTCCAAAATAATTATTTTTCAAATATAATTCTTTAAATAAATCTTTTCAAATATAATTTTCTCAAATAAAATTCTTCCATATAATTCTTTCTGAATAAAAATCCTTCCAATATATATTTTGAATATAATTCTTTCAATTAAAGTCACCATGTGACACCTCAATTCATAATCATAAAACAGTACGGGTCTCAGCCCACTTTTTATATTTTCACGGCACCTCATGCCCATAACTAAATTATCATATTTCCCCGGCACCTCGTGCCCTCATTTCATATCACAACTGCACGGACAATTCATGTGCCAAATATCATTATCATTTCATCACAGCACCTCGTGCCCACATTTCATATCACAACTGCACGGACAATTCACGTGCCAATATCCACATTTCATATCACAATTCACGGTACCTCGTACCCACATTTTATTTTATAAACCGCCTGGCAATAGCCACATGCTCCCAATTTCAACATGAATCATATTATCATCAATTTACCAACAACAAGACAAGTTGCACAAAGTATAAAAATAAACACAAGAAAATCACAACATCACATAAAAATTATCAACACCACAATCCCATATCATCACATATCGTCCCTCACAATAGCCACCCTTATCGCTCCTATTGCCACCCTTATCACTCCTATAGCCACCCTTATCTCTCCACCCAGACAATATCAATAGCCACCCTTATCACTCCTATAGCCACCCTTATTCCTCCGCCCAGATAATATTTCAACAAATACAACAATAATGAAATGCCACCCTTATACCCACATAATATCAACGGTGAAATGCCACCCTTATCTCCCCAAAATAATAACTCACACAACACAACAATTTACACGAAAAATTAACACGACAATATAATAAAATAAATTCATATCATAATTTGCCCAATGGCCACAACCAAATTCTAAAGATATAACAAAATCAATTAATTTCACAACAAATAGCACAAGGCTCCACA